ATATATATATATATGTATAAATATATATAAAATATATCTATACTCTATGCTTTTTGATATGATGATAATTATAGTTTACGTAATCGAGAGTCGCGTCTCGAGATCCAGTTTTAGAAAGGCGACGGGCAAACAAATGTGGCGACGGCCATCGAATTAGTTATTTCTAAACTCTGAATATGTTGAAACATATTTTACGATAGAAACGTTATTTTTATACGTGTGTACGGTGTAGTTATATAAATGATCTGTGGCGTCGTGTGTGGTGTAACAAAATCGTGACATGTACTTCTTAGTAGAGAACACTAAACTAACCTACCCTATGTCGTCGCTATAAGTTTTCGCGTAGAGGAGCGTGTCTTGCAGGGCGTGCCGGGGTGCGTGCGAACGGGAAAGCGTATGTGTCGTTATTCCGTGGCCTTCTAACGACAATAACATTGTCGTTGCACATCGTCGCGCAGGTGTGACGTGTCATGCAATAGCTGCAATAGACACGGCGTTCAAACGATAGCGATGTCGTCGTTAAAAATTGCAGAATAATAAACACACCGGCCCTGCGCCTCCCCTCGTCTCGCCCCCGGCGAAATACTCTGTATGTCGCAATAGAACCAAATCGAAAGTTCATATTGTTATGACACATGTTTTTAGCAATACTTTGTAATAATACTAATAAATGAAGGAGGAGACACTGTGGTGGCATAAATGACAAACAAGAGCAACGTACGACGTCCCGAGATACAGTCCAACGACGATACATATGTCGAGGCCGTACACTGTTTTTTTTCCTTTCTTTTTTCTTTTTTTTTTAATCAGTTGTATCAATGGTTGTTGCTTGAGACTTTTCCCAAGTGAGATACTCAGGTCTGTAATAATCGTTACTTGAAACTCTTCTTAAGTGAGATACTCAAATTTGAGTTTAAAGTTAGATAAAAGTTTTTCAGTTGAATCGCGATTACAGATATAATGTCACGTATATCGTAAAATTCAACTGAAAAATTTGGATCTAACTCTGAGTAAAAATCTGAGTATTTCACATGAGACAAGTCTCAAGTCACAACTGTTAATACGGACCTCAGATTTGTACACTGAGGCCCGCATTAATAGTTGTTGCTTGAGACATGTTTCAATGAGACACATGGATTCCAATTTAGAGTTAGATCTACATTTTTCAGTTGAACTGTACGAAGCATGTGTGACGTTATATTGGCTGTATAGTCAGTGGTTCAATTATAAAATTTATCTGACTCTAAATTCGAACTCGCACTTGAGATCAATTTCAAACGATGAATATCCATACGAGCGTTGGCGTTAGACATGAATTTTCCAGTTAAATCGCATGATTGCACAAAGGAAAAAGAATATTCTTGTTTTGAAAATATCCCTTTTCTTCACACGCAAATCTTGAAACGAGTTTACGAGCGTCAAAGGCAGATAAGTTAATTGCATCAATACATTTTATACGCTATTTGTCGAAAAAAAATTATATTCTCATTATTTAAAAATAATTCTCATGAATGAAAAGCATGTTGTATTGAAAATATATTTTTTAAATATCCAAAAAAGACATCATTATCATCAAAATTATCATATTGTACTTTTCATGAGGGCTATTATAATATTCAGATGAAATTATAACAAATCGTTGAAACTCAAGACTTAACATTTCTTCCAACAGTATTACAATATCGTTGCTTATATATCAAACAATGGCTGTATTGACTTAATTTGAGTATATCGGAATATAGAGTATTCTAAATAAATATTAATTTCTTTCCTGTTTATGGATATAATGTCGCGTGTGTGTCACATGATTTAACTGAAAGTTCATAAACACTGAATGAAAATATAAGTACCTCACATGAGACAGGTTTCAAGTGACAATTATTAATACGAGCCGTGATCCGGTCTTTTCTCAGCGAAGGCCCTCAACGAGAGAGTTCTCCTCGGCGAGGCGCAAAGGTGTAAAAACGCGGCTACACTTATGAGCTTTCGATTCCGATTACTGTGGCAAGCGCTTTCGACATTTCACGTACACGAGAAACTCAAGTGTAACATACTAAGTAACCATGTAAATAAGTCAAGCACACACGCGTAAACTCTTTACTCGGGTGACCGAAAGGTCGACGCGATCTCGACGCGATCTCAACGCGTTCTTTGCGCGTGCCGGTGTTACGCGGGTCACGTGCGACAAGTTTTAATGTATGTTGCGACATATGCAAATGGAGTTAGTCGCCGGTTAACACATTGGCTGCTGAGCACGAATGTTACCTCGTAGCTGGCGTGCGAAAAGAATTCTCTGTTCGGTACGCCAGCTGCGAATTCATTCCCATAAATTTCCTTTTTCACGGCAGTGAGTTCCGGCGAGAGTTTGCCGAATAATAAATCGAATTAATTGGCGTGTTGGAATGATAAGCTGATTTTTGAACGGCGCCGGGAACGACGTAGTGTTCCTCAAACGCGCGGCAGTCAACGTGCTAGGCCGCGCTTTCGTGTTTGCAACACCGGCGATTGAGCGGTTGAGTGCCGCGCACGTCTAATCCACGATTTTTTAACGAGTCGTCGGATCGGCTCGTAGTCGCAGTTGCCAAATCCACGTTCTTCTCTTTTAGTTATTAGAAATTGGGAATTGAGCATTTGCGACGTTCAGCCGCTCGATTCGAGAGATCCGCGAGATCCGGGGAGAGTCGATCGTGAGTCTTTTCCTCAGGTGTGGACGAGTGGCAGATGAAAATATGTCAAACGCTCTGTAATTAGGAAATCCACAATTTTCATGAAATCCTCCCACTGAAGGAAGAGATTGGCGACCAACTTCTCGATCGGCGTTTAGCCTCCGTTTCTAATGATGCACAATTAAGGCGAGACGAACTGACTTTACTAGATGAGGATTTTGATCGAGAGAATCATATAAAAAACTGTCTGTGGTGTCGTACGATTTTAATTGTGTATAAGCATTTTTAATCCGCAATTATTCGATATTACTTACTACACCAGCGATTACGTTATGCAGTCGTTTTACTCAGCAAATAAATACAAGCTGTATTCCCTTACTTGTGCGAGCTGCGTGAATCATTGCGCGCGTCAGCCTCTGTCTGACTCGAATCGATCGATTCGTGTTTCGACAGTTTCCCGGATATATCACAGCTTGCTTGCGGTGTGATTGTAGAATGTAATTTTATCAAATCGTAAATGTCGTAGCGTAAGATTCGTGAAGATCGGTGACGCGAGTTACAGTTTTAAGGTAAGTCTAAACAATTTCTTTATATATGATCCACAATCAAAATTTTGTAATATATACATACATACATACATATATAAATAATCGAGTTATAAATAAAGTTACGTGCCACGACTAAATTTTCAAACGTTTTGCTAGGAAGCGCAAATCTGTCCTACATTCTTAATCTCTATAGTGAAATTTTCATCAAAACTTGGTTAAGTGACTTCGTCTAATTTAACGATTAATTTTGCATTGATCGTATTTTTCATGTTATTATTTTCGCATTTTTGCTATTATTGCATCGTATTTTCTCATTTTTCAACAATGTTACATTTCCCGACTTCGATAAACTCCACCTAGCCAGCAGAAATTACTAAAAGAAGTCTTAGAAACATCAAAGAAGCATCCTATTTCTTTTAGACATCTTCTAGACATCTTCAACGCATCTTTTAGTAGTTTATGCTGCGTGAGTAGCAAGAAAATGTCTAAGGATCGGTTTTCCGATAGTAGTTTAAATTTGGATTTAAGTTTTGAGCTTTGCTCGAACACATCAAACACATAAGCTACGTTCAGCAGAGAAAGCTGCTTTGCAACTATTGTAAAATTCGTGAATCCGTTCGGTGTTTACTCTTAAAGCCTGACAAGATTAGAAGCATACATCACACAGAGATTCATGTATTTCTCAACAGTTGCGAAATAGCCCTCTCCGCTTAAACGCAGCCATTGTCAGAACAGATTTTCGAAACTTCAATCTAATTCTAGCAGCACAATGCATTGGACCAGTATCGACTTTACAGTGGCCAACCGTTGGCCAATTAATATATGCTGTTCGAGAAGTTAAAGACTTAAACAGAATTTAAACTGCTATTGAGAAATCGGCTCCAAGAGACATCCCTAAGATCTTCATAGTACATCCCTACCTGGGATGTTTCTTAGATATCTCCGAGACATACTTTACATATCGTATTGCTTGGACTCTTTTTGCGCACCGAGGACAACGAGGCACAACGAGGAAAACTTTCATTCGCAACGATAGCTCGCTTCGCAATGAATCCCGCGGCGCGCCGGCTAACGCCACGCGGCAGCGCCAGATGGCGCCAAGCGGACGTGGCGCGCGCGCTCCGTGGCGCGACTCCAGGGAGAGAGATTGAGCGCGGCCGACGTGCGCGCAAATCCAGGTCGTTCCTCGGCGCGAGACGAGGCGAGAGCGTCGATGAACGTTGGCCGGCCGGCCGGTCCCGGGATCGATTGACGTCCTTTGCGCGCCGGCGGCGGTGACGGCGGCGTAGCGTCGCGACGCGAGCGCGCGGCGGCGTCGGGCGGGGCGAGAGGGCGCTGTGATCGTCGGCCGATCCGCCGCCAGTACGCGTCTCCAGCTCGCCGCTGTCAAGAGTGCGACTTTCGCGGAGCAGCTGTCGGCCGCGAGAATCCCCGAGATTCGGAGCAACGCGCGAGCGAGCCCCCGAGCCGAGTTACTGTCGGGCTCGGAGAGACGGCGCCGGGACGGCCTTCCTCCATTCTCCCTCGCGCGCGCGAGAGTCCCTCTCGTAACGGACGAAGGGCGACAACGAGACGAGACGAAACGACGCGTCGCGTAGACTTTTCGTATCGCCACCGGCGCCGAGCATAACCCGGCCGTCTCTCGAGATTCATCTCTTTGGTTGCCCACACCCCCCGTCATCATATATCGTCGTCACGAGCGCGAGCAGCCGGCACGACGTGAGTACGTGCTGAAGTTGGTCGAGATCGGAGCCCTTCCTTCGCCGAACAAACGGAGGATCAAGAGAGATCAAGAGAGAGAGGAAAGGGAAAAAGAGACGGAAACTGACGGAGCCGTCATCGGAGGAAAGCGGCTGCGGAGAGCGAGAGACGCGATAACGAACCGTATCTGCCGCACGCACGCTCGCTCTCGCGCCGTCTGTAGTGTCCCCCGCTGCCACTGTGCCGCTGTCGGGACGAGGAAAGTCTCTGTCTCGCACGCGTGAATCGAGCCTCACCTTCGCCCGGATCCCGGTCTCGGGTGGATCGAGTGTTCTCCTGCCAGAAAGCTTCTCCCGGAATATCGATCAAATAGCCTGAACCGAGTGAAAAACTACTCTGGGAAGAACGGGAAGGGGGAGTGAGAAAGAAAGAGAGAGAGAGAGAGAGCGAGAGAGAGAGAGAGAGAGAGAGAGACAGCGAGAGAGAGAGAGAGAGAGAGAGAGAGAGAGAACGGGAAGGCAGAGATACAGAAAGAGGGAGCCGGTAGAGGGAAGCAGGAGAGAGGGTCAAAGAGACGCACAGCGAGAGGATCCCGTCGTTAGTCAGGATACAATAGCGAAGGAGGTGGGTAGACACGTTCGATTTGTATCGACGGATCGCCGGGGAGAGCATTTGTGTGCGTCCGCGGTGACATCGAGAGCTACCTTGGCCGCGAGCTGCTCCGAAATAGGGATAGAGAGAAAGATAGGTAGAAAGGGGAGGAAGAGAGAAAAGGAGG